TCCTGGGGTCGGATGCCTCTGCCCCCCCACCCCCACCCTTCCCATGCCCCTTGTTAACAAAAAGGAACGATTTGAAGGGAATTCATATATAATAATTATAATAAAAATATACATTAAACAAAACAAAAAAAAAAACCCAAACAAGACAAATTTAGCCGAACTGCCAGCACCGTTCACCCCCCACACCCCCCCCCCACCCCACCCCCGACATTCCTCCCCTCTCCCTGCCCCCACAGGGTCTCACTCTCCCAAGTCCCCGGTACCATGACCACCTCTGGTGGCCAGAGGAGACTTTGAATGGGTGGGCTGGGTGGGGGAGAGGAGGCAGGACACCGGAAGGATGGGCTGAGGGGCAGGGGCATCAGGAAGTGAGGGGCTTACCTGACGAGACCCACCCAGGCACCTGCCCCCTCACTGAAGCCAGCTGAGGCTGCCGCCCCTGGTCGCCTCCCTAATTAGATGGCCACCCTCATGAAGGTCCCAAGTCACCAGTCCCTGGATGTGTATCCTCTCTGCTCCTTTCTCTGGGCTCCCCACCCTTCCCATACGTGTACTCTGGTTGGAGGAAGGGCACCAACGTGGAGTAGGTGTGCCTTTCTCCGGCCCTTCCTCAGAGCTCCGATAAAATATGCCCTCCCCTGGGTACACAGCCCACCTTGTGGTGTCCCTGCTGGCCTGGCCTGCCCGGCCCCCGGCCCTCCACTCCCACTGCACCTCCCCCAGTTAGCCTTTTGGTCCTGTCCTATCCCCCTGACTGCTCTGCCCCTTGGTCCCTATCCCAGCTGCCTGCATTTGAGCAAGAGTCTTTTTCTGTGGCCTTCAGGCTCACCCCCAGGGCTCCAGACAGTCTCTCTCCTTGCCCCCCACCCCCTTCCGGTAGCTGCAGCCCCTGGTTTCAGCTCCTCTAACCCTGACATCCCCAGCCAAGGCTGACATTTGCGGGGGTAGGACTGTCAAGGGTTTCTCCAGCTCCTTATGGCTCAGGCTCCTGGGGAAGTTCTTGGGGCCAGGCGGGGCAGAGGCAGATCTTTGCTGCGGAGGGGACTGACTCTGAGCTTTCCTCCCAAGGTCTTAGGGTGGCTGTGTGGCCCTCCCCAACCACCCCCCCAACCGCTCCTACTCTCTCAGGGTCGGTCTCCCCCTCAACAAGACGAGATTCCTTTAAGCCAGAAAGAGTGGTAGGAGGTTGCCAATGGGGTGCACCCGGGGGCTTGTGGGGCTGGAGTGCCCAGAGCCTCCTGAGGTCAGAGTTCAGAGGTTAAAGTTACGTCAGGGAAAGGAAAAGGAGCAGATGACCCCATCTGACCTTTGCCAGCGAGGTCTGAGGGTCCTGCCTTCAAGTGCAGAGCCAAGACATTCAGATGGGGCTGGACACACACCAAGCTACAGAGGCCCCTGGGCGGACGGGGGACCCATGGAGGGAAGAAGCAATGCCAGGGCTGAGGCTGACAGAGGCGGTGGCGGGACAAAGAAGCAGGGAGGCGGGGGGCGGGGGGGGGAGGGGGCCTGGGACAGGTGGGAGCAGCCCACCCACCACCACCTGCTGCCGCTGGCCGTCGGAGGCCAAGTCCTCGTGGTCGGAGTGGGCGGGCGGCAGTGGGGGTCAGACCTTGTCCAGCAGGGAGCGCTGGCAATACAGCAGTCGTTTCGGGGTCCCGTGGCGTCTGAAGAAGACGACGGCGAGCCCCACCGCCAGCACCAGGAGCAGCAGCAGCACGGGCAGAACCACGGCGGCCGCGCTCACCGCCCCGCTGCCCTCTTCGTCCACCTCGATGATGATCACCTCCGTCTCCTCCTCCGTCCCCTCGTCCGGCCGGCCGCCCGCCGCCGGGCAGCCCATCCAGTCCCGCAGGGCTGACTTGGGGTAGCCTGGCTCTACCTTCAGCTTCTGGTTGTTGAACTTCCAGTACTTGTTGCCCTTGTAGAAGTACGTGAAGACTGCCGGGGGCAGCAAGAAGGCGGCGGGGGAAAGCCACAGAGAGGGAAGAGCGGAAAGAAAATCTGTGAGTCGTGCGAGCCAGCTGAGTTCATCCCTCAGCCTCTGGGAACATCAGTGGCCTCAGCTGTAAACCGGGCTAGTTCTAGTACCAGGCTGGAAGGGCGCGGGGGCTTGGGGATCCGATGTGCGGAAAGCACTTTGCTCAGAGCCTGGCACAAGGCAAGGGTTCCGGCGTCCTCGTCAACACTGCTTTCCCGACCATACTGTCCTGTCCGGCTTGCCGCCCCTTCTCCCTTAGCCCGCTGTCCCCATCCTCCCCTCACGGACACCTCCCTCGCCCCTCACCTTCATCGCTGCCCATGAAGGACCCTCTGGGAGACTCAGGGATTCCTTCCCAGACCTTGATATTTTTGGGGTACTCGCTGTCCACTGCCCTGAGCTCCTCGTTGAAACGGTAGTACCTGGGGGAGAGGAGGGGAGGGGAAGCAGTCGGGCACTGGGCCTGTCCTCAGGGGGTAGCGGGGCCCAGGACTAAATTCACCAGTGAGCAAAGGGTGGCTACGGACAGGGCGCGGGACAGGGGTTTTGAGTAATGAGGGCCTGCAGCTGGAAGGGGCGGAAGGTGGGGGTGGATGGGAGGTCCCAGGCTGCAAGGAGCCGCCACTAGCCTTTAATGACAGTGCCTGGCAGCTGGGGTGGAGGCACGGTGCTGGGGGCAGGAGGCGCCAAATGACCAGGTCTGCAGTGGTGACCCGGTCACTTCCCACTCACTCGGCACCTAATGGAGGCTGTCTGTTGCCAGGCAACAGCAGAGGCTCAGGCAGCAACTAACTTGTCCAGGGAACCATCCCCGGGGTAGGTGGGTCTTTCTCCAGAATCGAGGGAATCTGGTGGTGGTGTCTGAGCGGGGAGGCCTGGGGCCAAGGGGCTGAGGTCTCACTTGTTTCCCCGGAAGAAGTAGGTCTTTCCATTGGGCATCCAGAAGAGAGCGGCATCAATTTTGTCAGTAGGCAGTCCTCGGCCCAGCTCCTTGATGTGCTTGGGGTAGCCAGGTTCCAGGGCAGCTTCGTCGAACACCCAGTGCTTGTCTCCTGCAGAGGAGAAAGGAGGGCAGGATCAGGGTTCCCCTGGGGCTCTCGGGTCTTCGGAGGAGATGAGTGGAACCCACTCCTCCCAGAAGACTCTTCCCATAGCCAGAGAACGCGGGCAGAATGCCTGGTTACCTTTGAAGAAGACAAACTTGCCATCTTTCCTCTCGTAGGCAGTGTTGATAGATGCAGGCAGGCCCCGCCAGAACTGTCCGATGGGCATGGGGTATCCATCCATCACTTGGTTATTCCTTACCCTCCAGAACCAGCGCTCCTAGAAGGCGTCGAGGTGGGGACAGTACATTCTGTCTTATAGCTAGTCCTCTGGCTTGGTCCCCAAAGCTTCCCACTGTCTCAGTTCTAGTTCTCAGTCCTCCTGTTGCTGTTTCCACCCAGCCTGCTGGGCTTAGAGCCCTCCCATCCCCCACAGCGGCCCCCTTCTTCCTCTCACCTTGAAGACAAACATCTCCCCTCGGAGCACAGCCACGGTGTCAAAGTTCCCGTCACAGATGTTGGGCCCATAGGTGGGGTTTTTGGGCTTATCGGGGACAGAGGGCCTGGAGGTCGTCCTGGGTTGAGGGGGCATCTTGGTGGGGGACCCTGACTGACTCCCTGGTGTAGAGAACATGAGAGGCACTTCAGACTTTGTGGCAGAGGGGGAGGACAGAACAGGCGTATGGGCAGACAATCCCCTTGGAAAGGTGTGGATGGCCCTTTGCAGGGAGGCTGAAGCAATCAGGTGGGAAAGGACGGGAAAGGTGGACTCAAAAGTGGGAGAAGAAATAATGTAAAAAAAAGAAAAAAGTGGGAGTGGGTGGTGGGTGGAGGCAGGGGGCAGACCGTAGGGCGTGGGGGAAGGGAAGGGATGCACAGGTCAGAGAGACCAGGAGGGGAGAAGGAGCAGATGTGGGCATAGATTACTCACCGTAAAGTTGCTGGATGCCCCGGCGGTCGTCATCGGGCAGCACGAAGTTCTCTGTGTCCATCCACTGGTAAAAGGGCGCCATGATGGCCGAGGGATCATTGGAATGCTCAAGGCCCAGGGCATGGCCCAGCTCGTGCACAGCCACCAGAAAGATGTCATTCCCTGGAGTGATGGGGAGGATGATGAGGGCAGCCTGGGTCCCTTCCCTCAGACTCCCTGCTTTCCCACCAGAGGCTTCGTTTTCACACCTGAGCCTGCTTGTCATGTTTTCCACCCCAAAAGCCACAAAGCCAGTCAGCAATCTATTCTGGTTGGAGGTGAGAGGGTGCTCTGGGGCCAGATACCAATCCCAGGAAGGCGTGTATTAAGGGAAGTTGAGGTCCCATCTGGGCCCCAGGTTCTCCCAGGAGCTAGAGGTGACATTTGCCCAGAGAAGTGGGAAGTCTTTGACTGGGAAGTCAATTATTGGGTGACAAAGGGACCAGATATAAGTGGAGCAAAATAAGGATCCTGCTTTCACTGGAAGTCAGACTAGGAGATCTTTGTAGCCCAGAGACTTGGGGGTTTGAGGTTTGGGGAGGAGGCAGGAGAACCGCCCCCACTACAAATGGTACTGACACTCCCCAAAATAAATGAGTCCCAGGGCTACTTCGCTCACCATTCAGATCCTCATTCCTGACAGTCCAGGGCTCGGCAGAGTCAAAGTGGGTGTCCCCTCCGATGTTGGGGCCCGGGAAATAGGCATGGGCCAGGAAGCCACCCTCGCCATCAAAAGGTGTGCTGTCACCATGGAAACCCTCAGCGAAGAAGATCATGATGTCTGCCTGCTTCTCATGGCCCTCTCGGATATAGGCATAGGGCACCTCTCGGAAACGAAGTGGTGTGGCGCTCTCCCACACACGGAATGCCTTGCGAATGGCCTCGAATGTGGCATACTCGCCCACCTTGGGGGTGTAATTCTGGATGCTGAGGTCCAGCCACATGGGGAGAGGATGGGAGTGTGTTAGGATCACAACCGATACAATTCTCCTTCTCTGTACTTTCCCAGGCCTGACTGAACCGCCCAGCCACCTTTGCTGCCTGGCTCTTCCTGCAGCCTCGTGCGGGATGCCTCTGCCCCAAGAACTGAGGGCTCAGGGGCCCCCCAGGCTTTGGCTTTCTGGCCCTGGGGTGCACCCCCCACAGGCTGCACCTTCCTGCAGGATTACAGCCCCATTCCTCCCCACTCCCAAGGATGCTTCACAGGGATCGAGGTGAGTAGGACAGGAGGCCTGAGTCTGTTAGCACAGCTGATAGGGAGGGTGACCCTGATGTGAGAAAGGCAACTTGCCTGCTGGACTCACCAGAAAGTGATCTCATTATGCTGCCATTTGAGGCCCTGGATGGCATAGCGCTTCCTTCGAACATTGGCCTTGATCTCAGCCCCGAACTTATCGGGAACACCACAGCGGGGACGCCTCATGGCCCTAGGCAGTGAGGACTGTGGTCAGGGCAGCATATTAAAGAGAAAGGTCTTCAGAGGAGAGGGGAAGTGCCTGGCCTCGGAAGGGCCAAGGTTACGGGGTCAGGGTGAATAGGAGAGGGTGGGGACCAGCGTCTGACCAGCGTGTGGGGTTGGGGGAGGGGGCAGGCGTGCAGGTAGCAATGTCCCTGTGCTCAGTGTTGTCGCTGGGTGCCATGCAGGATTCCTGCCAGGGTCTAGCACTTACTTCATGGTGTCTGCATCAGCCTTGCCCGTCACGCGCAGACCATAGAACTTCTGCATGGCAGCGATGGCAGCTGAGAAGGACTGGGGGGAGCGCTGTGTGTGCGTGCGCAGATCCCCGGGGGGCAGATAGCCATACTGCTGCAGCCAGGCCTGCAGGGAGAGGAGTGTGGCTTCGAGCATCTCCACTTGGCCCGAGGGGAGCCTCGGCCTCCCCCTGGTATCTGGCATGCACCCTTGGCTTAGGAGGAAAGGGCAACGAGCTCCCAGCCTGGCTCTGGCAGTGGGGCTGGAGGAGTTCCCAGGTTGGACCTGAACTCTGGCCCAGGCCCCAGTATGACTTGTCCTCTCGGGGCTGTGGGCTCAAACAGGGGTGGGGAGCCACGGCTCTGGACTTTGGCTGTAACTCTTGAGAATGGGAGCCCAGAGGGCTTAACTGAGTCCTAGGATGTCTTCTCAGAGCTGAGATTCCTTCCAGTACTTTCCTCCTCTGTGTCAGTGTTCTTGTAAATATAGCATGTCCTACCTGCGAGTGGGTTGTTCTCATGATGGGTGGAGGCAGGGAGGCTGAGGGGGCTCTCTTTTGGTCCTGGTATGAGACCCTCTTGGGACAGGGATGCCATGCCTCCAGGACCCTCACAGCTGTTATCTTTTTAGAAAGGAGAGTGCGGAACAGGAGCTAGGGCTGAGGCTGGCTGCTGAGACCGGAAGCTAGGACCTTTGGAGGTGGTGGGGGTGTGATCCAGCCACAGAGCTAGGATCCTGCCTCTGTCCGTATCCAAGCGCCTGACCTAGGGCTTGCGTCCTAAAGGCCCATTTGAGGTTCTCAGTAGAGGGAGTGGGAGATGGGGGTAGTGGTAGAGACTCGGTGACAGTATTGTACTTGAGGTATGTTGTGAATTGTTCATAATATAAAGGCTGGCATATTGCCTTAACATAAAGTTAGGTTTTCAGTATTTGATTGAAAGGCACATAGAATACGGCCTTTATTGCAAGAACAATGGAGTATTTTCCTAAAGCCTGAAAAGTAAAATGAGCCAAGTTATATATGGAATATGAAGATACTCGGATTCTCCAGTGGAGATACTACTTTGGTCCCTGCTCCAGCTTCGCCTTCCTCAGGAGTTCAGAGGGGGCCTGCGGGTTGCCTAGGATGGAAGCTCGGAGCGTAGAGGCCGCCGCTGGGTGCCACAACCCCTATCCCAGGTCGTCAGGATGGATCTTCCCGAGGCCCTTCACCTCTAGGCCCAGGCCCTGGGGGCGGAGCAGTGCTCCTGCACTGGGGCTGGGGGTGATTCAGGAGCAGCTGACCGGGGACATGTGCCCGCGAGGACAAGAATTGCAACAGGGTTCTGGGAAGTGATCCCCCAAGGCTGATGGGAGTTAGGGCCCGAGATGTAAACAACCCAGCCTTTCCCCAGCCGATGGGCCTGGCCAGAACAACCTTAGCACTCCCCGCCTCTGAGAGCGCCTCCTCAGGGGTAGAGGAGGGAGCCAAGCTTAACCTCTGGCAGACCACGTGGGAGCAGAGCGGGGTGCTGCCTACCTGGCTGCTGTCCGCAGGCGCTGCAGACGTGCCCTGACCTGTGCTGGCTGATGCCACAGCCAGTGGCCTGGGAGTACTTGGGCACGCGGGAAACCCCCTTTGCCCTTAGCCTCACCTGTGGGGCACACACCCCGCAGGCCCATGACCCCTGGTCGGGGAGCGGCTGCTTCAGCTTTGGAGAAGGATGGGAGTGGCCTACTCCTGGAGCTGGAAGTCAGGAGGACTTAAGTCAGGCCCCCTCAACCCTCGGGGAACGAAACTGAGGGGAATTCTCTGAGGGTAGAATGACAGAATGGAGGGTGGCAGAGACGTGGGGAGATCCACATCCAGGAGCTCTGGGATAAATCCCTCTCCCTGATGAGTCTTTCAAGAAAGTAGGCAGGTCTAAATATTCACACCCACAACGTCCACCCCATATACAAAAGAGAAAAATGGAGACTTGTGAGAATCAGAGATCTCGGAGTCTGAGCGAGACTTAGGCAAGAAAGGGACTTCCCTGCAGTCAAGAGAGCCTCGAGGCCTGGAAAGGAAGTGCCCCCATCCCTCTCCTCCCAGGCCTAGGCTCTGAGCAAAGCAAGAACCACAGAGAAGACTAGGAGGTGAGGTAGGAACCACAGAAGAGAGGACTCTTGTGTCTGCGGCTGGGTGGGGGGGAAGGGCCAAGTGCCAGACAGGCCTCGGGAGGAGAGGGCTGTCCTGGAGCTGGTGCAGGACTCTGGAGGCCTGGTGGGAGGGACCCGGCTGCCTGAGGCCTGGCTACCCCAGCTCACCCTCTAGATTGGCCTGGAGAGGGAGCAACTATGTTAGGTCAAAAAACTCAGTTGGCTGGCTTTGTCTTGGAAAACTGAGTGGTCTGGAGGTATTCCCTTAGGGGAGAAGTCCAGAGAACCCCTCCCACCTCTGGCCTAGGAGTCCCGGAGAAGGTGGGTGGGTTGGGGGAAACTTTGGCAAACTCCAGCAGGCCCTGGATGGGAGCCTCTGGGCCTGTTCCTCCCTCCTTCTGCCTCCCACCCCTCCGTAGCCCAGAAGCAAATGGTGGTTCTGGCACTGGGACTGCCCATGACCCACTTAAAACAGGGCCAGGGCTGCCGCCCCTCCCCTAGGGGGCCTAGTGGGGCAGGGGAGGGAAGGCAGGGCAGGCAAAGTTGGCAGTGGGCAGCCCCCAGATGCCCAGGCTTCTTTTGTTAGGAGTTCTCCTTGCAGGCCTCCGATGAAGACTCCAGGCTCCAGGCAGGGGAGAGGATGCCCCCTCCTGCTGGACCGTGTCAGGCTTAGCCCCAGGGCAGATCTGCACTCTCCCTGGTCACCCCCACTCCTAGGGCCACGCTTTGCTTCTCAACCTCAGATCCCTTCGGGACAGAGAGAGTGTGTTCTTTCTGGAGATGTTTCCTCCGGGGGTGGGTCCAGGGCCAGGACCAAGAGGGAGGAAGCCAAGTCCAGATCCCTTCCCCCTTCTGGGGCCCTTCCCGGCCCCTCCCGACCGCACCCAGGCCCTGCCGGGCTGAGTGGGTTGGGATGGCCCAAAATAAGAAGCTGATCAAATTCGTCTCCCACCTTCACCCCAAAATAAGAGAGAGAGAGTGAGAAAGAGAGGAAAAACCTCCCCAGACAACTCCCACGCGGCTTCCTCCCGGGCCGGTGGGACAGCGTCGGGGAATGGGTTGGGGGGGCGACCGAGGCAGTCGAGACACGTGCGGGTGCCCTGGGCCCGGCCCTCTCCCCACTCCCCAGTGCGATGCCCTCAGTCTCCCTGCAATTAGCACAGAAAAGCCATTAAGAAAAGCAACTAGAAGAGCCTAAAGGCGCCGCTGCGGGGGTGGTGGTGGTGGTGGGGGTGGTGGTGAGGGGGGGCAGAGGGAGGAGGCGGCCTCCGGGCGAACCCCCGGCTCACAAGGAGAGCTTTGTGTGTCCGGAGAGGCGGCCAGGGCGCCAGCTCCGCGACCTTCGACGCCAGGGCTCCGGGCCGCGACACAGAGGGGTCGGCGCGGAGAGGCGGGGTGGGCTGGGGGCCGGGGCGGCTCGGCCGTCCAGCCCCGACCCCACCTGGCGGCGGCCGCATCCGCCCAGGGCCCGGACCGCCCGGGAGGCGCGCAGCGTGGGGGGCCCCGGAGCCGCGGCGCCGTCCCCCCGAGCCTTCCCCGGCCGGCGGGCGCGGGCGGGAGAGCGCTGGAGGGCTGGAAAGTTGAAGAAACAACGGACTCGCGCACAGGACAAGAAACCAGGGCAGAGCCGGGGCTGAGCGGAGTCCCAAGTATTTAGCAAGCTCCCTCCTGGTTCTGGAGCTGAGCTCAGAGCCCGGGGGACCGGGGAGGGTGCGGGTGGGCCCCAGCTGTAAAGCTCTTCCCAGGAAAGGACTGGGAAAGCAAGTCGGCGGCGGCGGCGGCGGCGGGCGGGAGGGGGGCTGGCAGGGGGAGGCAGAAGTTGGATCGACTTGGAAGTTTGGAGCTGAGGAGGGAAAGGAAAGGGAGGGGGTTGCTGCGGGCTGGAGCGGCCGAGACCCCGAGCGCCCTGCTCTCCAAAGAGGGGGCTGTCCCCTTGGAGACCCCCGGCTCGCCTCCCCGGCGGGCGCGACTGCCGGCAGGGCCGGGGAGCTCACTTACTTCGGGGCTGAAGCTGCTTTGGGCCGAGCTGAGGGAGGCGAACGCGGTGGCGAGCGTGAGCAGGGGGAGCAGCAGACCGCCGGTGGGCCGTGGGGCAGGAGACATGGTCCGCGACCGTCCCGGCAGCCAGCCGTGCGGGCTCCGCGGCGGGGGCCCAAGCCCTGGGGTCGCGCCGCCACTCCCTTGGGGCGCCTTTGTCTTCGGTGGGCACTGAATTTGGATTCCTCGAGCGCTGTCCGCTTGGAGATGAGGGGATTGTTCTTGAAAGCGCCTGTTTGCTCGTCCCCTCTTTCCCGTTTTTTGATCTTTCTTCTGCTTAGTCTGCGAACTGCATCGCGAGCCCTCTCTCACTCCTCTGGTCCCTCCCTTCTCCCACAGCCTCTCCGCCCCCGCGCCAATGCC